TTACCGGTTGGGATTTTTAAACATGTTTGAAATTCTCGATCGGTGAAAATATTGTACAAATAACTGACAGCAACCTATGTCACGAGATATGCAAGCTCTTAATCACCGATATCGCCTATCGGACATAGAAGACCAAATATGAATCACCGGCCATATCTGACGGAAATAGTTTAACCACTGACAACTAGCTATGAAACACCGATTAATCATGTCCGTCACTAGGAAGTTGTCAAGCTGTCTAAATATTATAAACATATGATAAATAAATCCTGAACTTTGACAGTATTGAAATAAATAATCAAAATCTAAAAAAAAAATGTAAAAAAGTAAAAATAATTTTATTGAAGTAAACCCACTGAAAGAACATTAGTATGCTATTAAAGTACTATATCGTACGATATTCTCATATTACGAGAAGGGTAGTACTCTTTTTTACAACTTCCTGTTTTTTTAAAATTCTTTATCGGACAATATATTTTCAAAAACAATAATTTCATTGAAGTAAACACACTGAAAGAACCTAAGTATGTTATTAAAATACTATACCGTACGATATTCTCATCTTACGGGAAGGGGAATATTTATTTTTTTCAAAATTCTTAACCGGAGAATATATTTTCAAAAATAATTTCATTGAAGTAAACAAACTGAAAGAACCTCAAAGGCACATTATTCCTCAGAAACCCATATTTATTTATTTATTTTTAAAAAATGTCAAACATGTGTTTAATAATTTTTTATTAATATATTTAGAGCATGTTAGACGTTTAACAGCTGAGGAAAGTAGCGCTAAATGTGCAGTAATGTGTCATAAAGTTACCAAATTGTAAACAAAATAGTATTTTGACATCCTTACAAAATACTAATTCACTATAATTTTACCATTTGCAAACAAAGCAAAAGAAGCAAAAATGGTTCAATTATATGGCAAATAAGTATTTTTTGTAACTGTAACAAGAACCAAAAATAAAACGTTTTTGAGAAATAAAAGTGATAGAATTTCTGAGGCAAAATGGGTCTTTAATATGTTTTTATATTAATATATCGTACAATCATCTCATCTTACGTATGAAAAGGGGAATACTCTTTTTTACAACTTGCTAATTTTCAAAATTCTTTGCTTGTGTAACATTACTTTCTATGAGAATAACTTGACTTATTTTAAAAGTGCAAGAGAGAGATTAATGACACTGAAAGACGATCTATGGAGTAGCTGACACGCAATGGAATGAGAAAAAAATGTTATAAATATACGGGGGTAAAAAGAGCTTTTTTATTGTGAGAAAAGAATATTTTATGTAAATTTAAAAATATGTTAATTTATTATAATTAGGTAAGGGCAAGTGTATATAGTTTATATCTGCATCTCGCATACTGTAAAATATTTTCTGTTTTCTTCAAAAAAGCTTTAAAACAACATCAATTTGCTTAAATAGTAATAGTGAAAATGAAGTTACAAACGGCATGGGTTTATAAAGATGTTTTTCTTTCTTTCTTTTTTACGACATTTTTTTTCTGGGACAACCCTCATTAATATCATAAAATACTTTTTGTTTCATACTATGAACATACAAGTTTCGTTTTCTGTATTAGCTTTATTTTGTTTTGTATTTAATGTTCCCTTTAAGTTGCACGTAAAACGTTATTCTAACACTATCGAAATTTTTTCTATGTAAACAAAGAAGGTCCGAAGCGTGCATTATTCTACAACAATGCACTCGCCGTTCTTATTATCTCCCTGTGTATTTTCACATTGAAGGCGCCATTTTGTTTGAAAAATCTGATAAATAAAAAAAAATTGTCGAATTTTGTTGAGAAAAGTATCTACAATGAAAGATAATTGTTTAACTAAGAAAATGAATCCGAACACCAATATCTTTAGTTCAGTCGTTAACGCTGTACAGACGTTTAAAGTGTTGTTTACGTGACGTTACAATGTAGCGCCAAACAGCACGTGCAAAACAATCAAATAAAGTACGCTATTTTAATGTCGCAAACGATTTTAAGTTTTACATTTATTTCACTTTAAAAAATTTGTATTTTGCTTGAAAAAATACAGAGTGAAATAAAATGAACAAACAAAGTTTTATCAACGTTTTCAAAATTCGTTATTCTCAAAATGTTTCTACACACGGTAGATTTAACAACAGATTTTTTCAACCCACTGGAAGAGCTTTTAAAGAACGTTTCTATTGGAAACTCTGAGGCGGAAACAAATTTAACCACCAAACATAAAGTCCAACTTTATAATAATGATTATATTTTTTCTTGACGTGTTAGAATGGAAATAGATATTAATTCTTCGTGCATTATTGTATAATTATGCACGATTTTCGTTCAAATGCTTTGTAATTAATCACTCAGGCCTATCGGCCTGAGTGATTATATGACTACGCAATTGAATTAAACCGTGCATTATTCTACGACAATTCACTCAGAATTGATATCTTTTTCCTAAGTAAAATTGTACAATATAGTAAAATTGTATGATTAAACTAACTTAAAATAAAGGACATTTATACTGTCAAATGAAAATACAGCAGTGATAATAGTTATGTACATTGCTGCATAAAACACTCACAGTATAAGTGTCACTGCTGTTTAATTGTCCTTTATTTTATCCGTTGTTGTTGTGTTTCTTATGGTCCTCAATGATAATTGTAATGTTGAACATTTACATCTTTATATTTTGAGTGTCTTCGTTATCTCCATTTAAAGAGTTTACTCGACATAATTTATTCAGGTAACAGTCAATTTCGTTGCCTACATTGATAAATTCTTGGATAATTGAAAATGTCATAATGTGTTAAAGGGGCTCCAAGTTTTCAAGTGACAAGTTTTTGACATTTAGGGACCGAATATTATATGTTATTTTGGTTTTGGAGTGATATATGTGGATATATTACCTGGCAAGATTTTATATCACCCGAGCCATTAGGCGAGGGTGATATAAAATCTTGCCATGTAATATATCCATATATATCACTCCAAAACCAAAATAACAATTTTATTACCCTTCCCATGCCGAGTAAGATTTTAAAATAAATCATTGCTGTTTCAATTGAAACGTCGAAATAAGATTCCCTTTAGGGTACCTCTTCACCACAACATGACGTCACATAAATACATGACGTATTTGCTTTCGTACCTAACGAATGTAAACAAGACAAAAGGGGTAGTCTGTCGAAGACACTTTTTGTAATTAATATTAAGCATTGGCGAAGCCATTTTTGTTTTCAATACTGATGAGAATATTCATCATTACTTTCTTTTGGTAAATATTTTTCATTTGACATTTAAAAAGTGCTTGTTTATCGGAATTTACACCGCGTAAAATCGAACCGTACGCGCATCGCCACAACGCATGTTGTTTACAACGTTGGGTACCAAACGGGTATATTTAGTGTGTATATTACCCGTCTGGCTCGGTAATATCAATTTCTTTCGACGGATCAATATCCAATCAAAAAGGTGGAAAAAATCTGGAAGGGTAATAAATATGTTTATGCCCCCCTTCGAAGAAGAGGGGGTAAATTGTTTTGTCGGTCTGTCCGTCGGTAGACCACATGGTTTCCCCTGTTGATTAGGTTCAAGGTCAAGGTCACAGGGGTCTTAAATGTCAGAACGGTTTCTGCTGATTATCTTGAAGTATTCATCACAAAGTCTTCATATTTCACATAGTGATTGGACATAACTAGTAGATGACCCCTATTGATTTTGGGTTCACAGGGGCTTTAAATGTCAGAATGGTTTTCGCTTATTATCTTGGTTGCAATTCATCACAAAGTATTCATCTTGACTTACATGTACCCATTTATGGCAAGTTTCTTTAACAAAATTACCAATAATGTGAGTCAAAGGCTAGAAAGGGGGCATATGTGTCGTTCGACATTTCTTGTGGTTTTTTTTAATTTTGCGTCACTTTATATAGGTTTGAACCAATAACTCGTGTACTCAATTTTATATCATTCGCTCTCTCCGCTTCCTAGGGATAATCAATTTTATTGCACTAATTGTCCAACGTTACAACGCTTTTCACTCAAATCGACTCAAAGACTGTATCGATCATCATTTTATTAACGAATATCAATATATATTATCTATAGTATAGTTTTCCATTTTAAGCGCATCTGTTGATTTATGAACCTCAAACTTTATGATTTAGAATATAAGACCTCAATGGAGTTCTTTTAGATGGACTCAACTCAAGTCTAAAAGCCTGAAACAAAATTTTTAATTTTCATACATAAATCAACAGGAGGCATTAAAAAGGAAGGTAATCAAGATATATACTTAGAAATAAAGAGAAATCATGTTGTGTGATTTTTTCAGCCCGATTTGAGTTGAAAGCATTGAAACGTTTTCATTAATCTTGGGTCATTTTTCACAATTAGAATAATTATTCTGGAAAAACGAAGTGTGCAAATGATCTGAAATTTCGCAAACAAGTTATAGGTCAATGCCTACATGAAACGGAACATTAATCTCTAAAAACTATTTCAAGTCCTGTCATGCAAAATAACATGTGTCCCTTTTAATCCTTATTTTTTGGAACCTTAAAATGAAACAATTATCAACTATAGCAGCATGTCAGACAGATCATTACATTGTCTTATAAAATAAAAAGATAACAGAAAGTTGGATCAAGATGATCAAAGATTGAATTTTAATTTGTAGTTGAAATAATGTGATCAAGACAAATAGGACAATTGGATCAAAAACCAACACACATTTAATACCAAGTCGTTTAACGAAGATATGCGTCGAAGGGGGAAGCGTATCAACAGCTCTGTCGGGAATTGATAACGTCATTTATAGCGCCTTGTATAACGTGACGTTCCGCGCTTACGTTAACGTCACTTCCGACTTAACATTGTATTGTTGTTTATACTATATATGAATGTTGATCAGTAAAGGTCGAACCTGGAAACTACAACGCATTTTGCCTAGTTAATATACATCCCCACATTGTTGGTGCCGTGAGAAATTCTACAATCACAATGAATTTACAGAAGCTTATTTCTACTAGAGAGGGCCAGCGACGTCTTATTTCTAGACAACTGGAGAAATTTAACGACGAGTTGTCACTTTCGGAGAAGTCAGCCCTGCTCGAAATCATGGAAGAAAAAGCCGAGATTATCAAGAACCTCAACGATAAGATTGTTAATCATGCAGATATTGACGATTTGGAAACAGAATTGGTAGAGAGTGACGAATATTCAATTGATCTACGTTTGAAACTACGAAAACTGAAGGAAGATATTACCAAATCTAATAACACTGGCTGCGGCAGCGTGATCCGTAATTCACAGGACATTAACGGTAGTGCTAGAACTTTATCAAATGAGAACTTTTCTAATCATAGCCACAGAGTGTCGTCTGAAAATTCATCTTTTCACAGACTACCTAAACTGAGTTTGCCTACGTTTGATGGAGATGTTGAAAAATGGCAGTCATTCTGGGACTCGTATGAGGCTGCTGTACATTTGAACCAAACCCTATCTGATGTCCAAAAGTTCAACTATTTACGTTCCTTACTACAAGACACTGCATATACCGCCATAGCAGGTTTTCCATTAACTAACGGAAATTACCAGAATGCAATAAATTTGTTACAAGAACGATTCGGACAGTCTCATAAAATAATAGATAGTTACATGCAGTCGCTTTTAGATTTACCAATACCAGACAACAGTGTAACGAGTCTACGCAGGTTTCACGACAAAATGGAAAACTACATCCGGGGTTTAGAGTCTTTAGGTGAGAGTCAGGGTTCCTATGGTGATTTATTGATACCCATAATCATGAAAAAACTTCCCTCCGAAGTACGACGAAATTTAGCTCGAGAACACGGAAATGTACGATGGCACATACACGATTTGAGAACTTCTATCGCCAGAGAAATAAACCTCCTAGAAATGGGCATAACTGACGAAATAAGAGAATCACACTTGCCGACGGCATCATTATTTACCGGAACCGGTAAGAAAAAATACACATCTAAGAAATTTTCGCACACAAGAGATAATGACAAGGGTAAGAAATTATGTTTGTTCTGTGAAGGTGACCACAAGTCGCTTGATTGTGAAAAAGTTAAAACACGTGAAGAAAAACTAACTATCATTAAATCTAAACGTATGTGTTATAATTGCCTGGGAAAACACCAAGTTTCAGAGTGTCGTTCTAAGTTTCGTTGCAAGAAATGCCAGCGAAAGCACCATTCTAGTATTTGTGACCAACCATCTAATTTCGATTTGAATCCACATGCAACATCATTTATAAGCTCTACTTCCGGTCAAACAGGAAATGCAGGAACTGCTATTCTTCATTCAACTACGCATCAAAGATCGAACATTCTACTCAAGACTGCTATCGCTCAAGTAAGTTCCCAAGACCATACCATAACTAATACAAACATATTATTTGACGAAGGTGCTCAAAGGTCATTTATTACGGAAGAGCTTGCTGAGAAACTGAAATTAAAGCCCAACGGTTCGGACACTATATCATTAGCATCTTTTGGTGGCAAATCAGAACAGTGTCGTCATATACCAACAGGCAGAGTGTTTCTACACGTCGAACATAGAGAGATAATACCACTTGACGTACTTATTGTACCAACCATTGCTGTACCATTACCTAACTTGCAGAGAAATGTGAAATGTCTGAAATATATCGAAGGTCTTAAACTTGCACATCCTATTACGGACATTGACGACGATTTCGAGATATCACTCTTGATTGGAGCCGACTATTTTTTAGCAAATCGTGCAGAATAAGTTTGTTAGGGTTAGGGGCAACGGACCTACGGCAGTGAAATCAAAGCTCGGTTATTTACTGTCAGGACCTCTTCCGGAAGTTAAAAATGCGTCGTCTGTTAGCTATATGTTTAATGTTGTAACAGCGCCACCTAATGCCACAGATCTTGAAAGATTCTGGAAGTTAGAATCTATGGGAATATTAGAAGATGATACTGAGAAATCTACTTCCGGTATACTTAACGAGTATAAAGAAAACTGTATCAAGTACAAAGATGGACGTTATGTTGCAAAACTGCCCTGGAAAGAAGATCATTCCGTACTTCCTACAAATTACGAAATTTGCAGAAAGCGTACAGAAAACACAATTAAACGACTTTCAATAGAAACGGATATACTAAAAAACTATGGACAAATCATAGAAGATCAGTTAAAACGCGGTTTTATTGAAAAGTGTGATGCAAATGTTACCACATCAAACCCTGTACATTATATTCCACATCATTATGTAAAGAAGGACTCGAACACGACACCTATCCGCATCGTGTATAACTGCAGTTGTAAGTCACGTGACCAGCCTAGTCTGAACGATTGCTTGATGTCTACACCACCTGAACTGAATGATTTAACTGGTATTCTTATTCGTTTTCGAATGAATAAATACGCCATAGCAACCGATATTGATAAAGCTTTCCTCAACATTACTCTTGACGAGAACGACCGAGATGTGACGCGATTTCTATGGCTCAGTGATCCTAGTAACCCCAACAGCGAATTCCGAGCAGTCCTTTTTGGGGCTACATCGTCCCCTTTTATTCTCTGCGCAACTATACTTAAGCACCTTGAACTTAACAACGACAAGAAAGCTAGCAAATACCTACGTCAAGATCTATACGTTGATAACGTGATATCAAGTTTCCAACAGGAAGAACAACTTCTACACCGAGTCTCGTGAGCTAATGTCATCTGCAGGTTTTAACCTTAGGTCCTGGAGTTCAAATAGTAAAATGCTTCAAAAACAAGCAATCAACGATTCAGTAATAGATAATGCACAAACTCCTAAGATACTTGGAATGAAATGGGACACAAATAGTGACGTTTTACTGTATCCGGTCAGAAATATACCAAATACCCAGATTGTAACAAAGAGAGAAATATTGCAGCATACATCTCGAATCTATGATCCCTTGGGTTTACTAAGTCCAGTTACCATCAGAGCTAAATTACTTCTACAGGAGTTATGGCAACAGAAGTTTGAATGCCATTACCTGATAGTATTCAAGAAAAATGGCGTAGTTTAATAACAGATTTGAATTCCGTGACAAAACTACGTTTCCTAGATACTACTTCGAAAATACATTAAACGCATCAAGAAACACGTGCATTCACATATTCTGCGACGCTAGCTTGGTATCGTATGGTGTAACGGCTTACATCTGTAGAGACAACCAATCTACTCTTGTAATGGCTAAAACTTGGGTTGCTCCATTGAAAAAGTTAACATTACCTAGGTTAGAGCTAATGGCGGCAGTAATTGGATCCCTACTATGTAAACACCTGCAGCAAAACACCAGCATAACACAGATATACCTTTGGTCAGATAGCCAGATTGTGCTTTCTTGGCTTCAGACGCCTAAAACCCTTCCACGATTTGTAAGGAACAGAGTGATTGAAATCCACGCGCTGTCCGAAAACCGGAAATGGAATTATTGTCCGACGAAAGAAAACCCTGCCGATTTACTTACGAGGGGTATCTCTGTGACTCACTTCAAGAACAGTAATCTATGGTTTCATGGACCTACATGGCTTACCACACCTGACAGTTGGCCAGTTTGGCAAGAAAAAGATATTTACGTTACCATGACAACGTTTATTGACCCAGCAACCAAGCCAAAAGATACAATTTTACCATTAAGCAATATCAGTTTCATAGACATGTCAAGATTCAGTTCTTTAAGAAAGCTGCTCAGGGTTACAGCTTATGTCCTGCGTTTTATATTCAAGTGTCGAGACGGGAGTCATACTGGAAGATTAGACTTTTTAACTACAGACGAACTACGCAGAGCTGAGGAGATGTGCATACGATGTTGCCAGATGTCCAAATATCAAGCAGAAATAGAAGATACAAAATCAAAAAGAAACAAATTTCCATTATGTAGACAACTTCAGTTATTCTTAGACAATGGCATATTAAAGTGCCGTGGTCGTATCCACAATGCTCCATTAGACGAGCTGACAAAATGCCCGTACCTACTACCAGCTAAGCATCCTTTTACAAAGTTAGTTGTCAACGACGCACATTCCAGATTATTGCATGCCGGCGTTAGTTCAACTATTACGTTCTTAAGACAGATGTACTGGATTCCTTCGATTCGTCAAACTGTAAAAAACATATTACGTAAATGTACATGTTGTGTAAAGGTTATTGGGAAACCCTACTCAGCACCTGACCCACCTCCATTACCAAAGTGTAGAGTTTCTGACGTCAAACCCTTTACTTATACAAGAGTAGACTTCTCTGGAGCATTACTGGTTCGGGATAGTAACAAAAGAGACATAAAAGCTTACTTCTGCTTGTTTACATGTGCTTCTACGAGAGCAGTTCACCTAGAACTTGTTTCAAACCTATCAGCAGAATCATACCTACAAGCTTTCCGACGTTTCTGTAGCAGAAAATCTGTCCCTTACGTCATGATGTCAGACAACGCTAACACCTTCATATCAGCCTCAAAACAATTAAGAGATTTGTTTCACTCACTCACAGTTAGAGAAGAACTCAACAACAGAGGAATTGAGTGGAAGATGATACCTAAACGCGCCCCTTGGTTTGGTGGAATGTGGGAACGTCTCATAGGTCTGACGAAAACAACTATAAAGATAGTGCTAGGACGTTCCTATGTTACCTACGAAACGTTACAGACTGTAATCACAGAAATCGAGGCAATGATTAACGATAGGCCGTTGACATATGTTTGTTCTGGTAATTCAGATGAACCGGAAGTACTTACACCATCACACTTACTTTATGGCAGACGAATAACCAAACTCCCTTATGAAGATGTCCTTTCATGTACATTCCCTACGCCAAGTGACCGATCGTCAGTTATCAAACAAGCTACGATACAAACGAAGTTAATTAACCACTTCCGGGATAGATGGCGTCACGAATACCTGACAGCTTTACGAGAACGTTATCAGACTACTGGCAAAAATGACCAGACGATATCCGTTGGAGACGTTGTATTAGTCCACCACGATGTTCCCCGCTTATTATGGAAACTTGCTGTGGTTGAAGAACTCGTGCCAGGAAAAGATGGACTTATTCGAAGTGCTAAAATTCGAACTCAAAATGGACTCACAAATCGCGCAATTGTAAAACTTTACCCCCTCGAAATGTATTAATTCAAAATTTTAAAGGAAAGGTGATACATGAATAAGAGACTGTATTCAATATTTATGACACTGTTTCTTAATTAATAATACTTTATATGAGGTACTATAGCAACTGTAGTGTTCAAATAATGGATTTATTACTAAACTTTAAATAACATTTCGCGCCCCGAGTATGTCGGGAATTGATAACGTCATTTATAGCGCCTTGTATAACGTGACGTTCCGCGCTTACGTTAACGTCACTTCCGACTTAACATTGTATTGTTGTTTATACTATATATGAATGTTGATCAGTAAAGGTCGAACCTGGAAACTACAACGCATTTTGCCTAGTTAATATACATCCCCACAAGCTCTACCCACTGTTATATAATATTGCTAAATTATTATTGCGTACCTGAACGTATTGACATTACGCCGCCTGTCAATCAAACTGGCAGGGGTCACAGAGATAAGCCAATCATCGATCGTTATCAGTTCAACGCTAAGATGCCTGCGAAGTCCGCAATTTCCCTTAGACAAGCTACTTGTCTAAGACAATGATGCAGAAGTAATTTAGATTGAAATTATTTTAATTTTTTGTAAATTTAAAGCCTTTTTATCAATATATTAACTTATATTAAGTCTCCAAATATACTGACATAATTGACAGATCGAAAAAGTTAGTTTATTATACAAAATGTCAATAATTTTCTACATATGGAAATAATAAGTACGAAATATTTATCATGGCTATAACACAATGTATTAAAAAATGAAAAGGTTTAAACAAACTTTTTTATTTCCATTCTATCAATATTTCATAATGACATTACATATTATAAGGTTCCAAAATATCCAGAACGTATAGCGTCAATAATAACACAGATGTAAAAAATCCATATATAATGAGTAAATACAATAAAAAATTGGGTGAAATTTTCCAACCTGAATATTTCTACTCGTATTAAAGATCAATAAATTAACATTAAATATTCATATAGATCTGCATAATACAAAACTAATACCAATAAATCATGTCTGATCAGATGTATGTGAAGCTTATTTTAAAGAGAATAACGTTGTATTTTGTCGTGAATCATATCAAATATATGACAATACATAATCGCATATCTGACATAAAAAGTTAGCAAGAGCATGCAATTTTCTGAATCAATTTTAAAACAAATTAATGTATTATCTAAACTGAATTTCGCACATAAAACCCGAAAATGATTTTAAATTTATTTGTGTCACCAAATAAACTTTACTGTTTATGTTTCGCTACTTCAATTTCAAAATAAAACGATCATAACATTATCATATACTTTTCTACATATTTGAACTCTTTGAATTTGTAAAATATAATGATATTTTGTCAGTTTTAGATTTTCATTGAAGTCAACAAGGAATAACCCGATCTTTCAAAACGTTTTATGCGTTTAATACCTGAGTGCGGATATTTTTTCTTTCTATCATTGTTTATGTTTTAACGAAATCTTGCAATGTTCTATCCTGCCATATAAGTTTGTGTAAATATCATTTGTTATCTAGGGAGAGGAACTTTATAAGTTTTCTTTCGTTCTAATCCCTTTCAATATTATGTAACATTTATATACATATACATGTAAAATGTAATATACGTAAAATAATGAAATAAATATGTGTACTGTAAACTGATGCAGATCATTTATTTTTTTTACTTTTTAAAATACCATAATACATTTATACATTGAATAATATATCTACTATTCAATAAAACGATTAAAAACATCAACAATTTATATACATGTACACAAAAATTATATAAGGTAAATTCATTGGTAACATTAGTGGCATAACAGTTTTGCGAATACATCGGTACCGTATTTTGTCTAAGGTTCTTACTGACCAGGTCACGTAAATCACCGGGCGGAGCGCGTAATGTTAATTCTATACTTACAAACATATTTCATAAACTGAATGTTTCTGATGAAAATGCAGCAAATACCACTAATTATACCATAATCTAAAATGAAGATTTAAGTCAGAACAGGAACGCCGATGCACGTGTCTGTATTTAGCCCACTTTGGATAATGAGTGTGTATTTGGCACAGCAGAAATGTAAAACGCCGTCTAAGGTCATAATCGCTCGCTTTCTTAAATAAAAAAATGTAAATTATGAAGTTTTTAATAATGGTCGTACAATTAAGTAAGGTTTTGTTACGTTTAACCGATCAAGTTACAGACACGACGATGGGAATTGCGACGCTGGAAGTGAAAAACATAATACGATACCGATATTTTGACTTCCTGGTGTCAGCCACATCATAAATTACAACCAAAATCCCCGGCCTATAGAAATTTTATTAACGTAAGCTTATTATGAATAAGGGGCGATCAAAATGTATGTGGAAACGTGTAATTGTTTGCTAAGTTATTGACCCATGGTCTCAACGTAAGACAAGACAAATTCCGACAGTAATCTCTCAAACTGTTGACTAACTCTAAGAAAGAAATATATGATTAACATTATATAAATAACACACGGGTTTGTGGGTAACAGTAAATATATCATCCCGAGGAAAATACTGTTACCCGAGGCGTATATCATCCCGAGGAAATTACTGTACGCCTCGGGTAACAGTATTTTCCTCGGGATGATATTTTTACTGTTACTCACAAACCCATGTGTTATTTATTTTATTACCCCGAACAAAAAAACTGTGATGATCTGAAATTGTTAACTAAATCTAACTGTAACAAAAATAAACCAAGAGTAACAATAACTAAACTGTCCTTACCTTTTAAGTTTTAAGTGTACTTTAGGCCTACTTGAGAAGTTTCCTTTTTCTTTTATTCTTTAGGCAAGTGATGATATCTACAAATCATAAACATACAATAAGCTAGGTTTTATTTAGAAAACAAAACACTAACCCATTTACACGGTTATGATCTGTGAAATCTGATCCATCTGTTTCCAGAATATTCTTCGCATGGTTTTTGACAAAGTGCATTTAGAAAATAACGATGATATCCTACAGATGCTAGATGTCTGTCCACCAACTCTATCTGTAACGTTTCACTGGTTAAAATTGTTAAATAATCCTTTGTTGCATGCTTTAATCGTCTGCATGTTCCAGTTTGACACATGATTATTCACATTACAATTACTTCCGTTGAAAACGGATGTTTCCTTTGTACTATTCAACAAAAAGATATTTTATACGCGAAAGTAACTCTGGGGTGCAAAGAACTAAATTTTATGAGAGTAATAGTTACTTCGGCGATGCCCTATCTTCGAAAATAAGAATGAATCGAGAAAAAAATGGCGGCCATTTTATTTCATTTAGAAAAAAAAACACGTGACCAGAATTTATACTGTTAAAAAATGCTGTTACTTATGTTACAGTACAAAATTCTTAGTCACGTGGAACACTTGCATTAACAGTAAGAATAACTCCCAAATGCCTCTGGAAAATTAACATTACGAAAAAAGTGAGGGGTAATAAATAAGTATGACAAAACAAAACTCGAGTCAGAAACGAAAGTATAGTGAACCCATGGTTACCAATGATTGCTTAAATCAAATGAAAATTATACCAGCCGTAACGATCAGTATCGCCAGCCTTGAAAGTCAACCTGACTTATTATGGTGTTATCATTCTTCACAAGTCAAGAAGAGTAGAAACACGTTTGCGAATTTAACTTATTTCTAAATAACAATATTTTCATGTTAAACTATTCGACGTTTTCATGTTAAACTATTCGGCTGTATGAGTCATGTAAGGTAAATTGCATTAAGCACTGTTATACAGGAACAAGTTCTTGCAACAGTTTCAATTATGGTGTGTCAGGGGGACATTCGAAGTATCTAAGTATAACATCGTCGTCTGTTTGTCGTAAAACGTCTTTCCATACGTCCATACGCAAAATAAGCAGCATGACATGCATGTTGTGTTTATGGTAATCTGGATTCTCTTAATTTTAATGTTATTTATATTCCAATTACCAATGCTTCATAATTGAAACTATAGCAGTCTCTGAATGTCTCTAAATGTCCGGTAATACCATATTGCAACGTTTGAATTAAAGATTTGAAAACGGAGAAATATTCGCAGATTTGTTCACACGAGTCGACATAAATCATTTTGTTGGCATCAACCTTGAAAATGTTTTTTATTAGACGAGTACTTTTCTAAAGGTGTGTAATTTTGTAATCAAATGTGTAAATTGAGCAAAGTATGATAAATGCTTGTATGAAATTAATCTCGACTCAGTAGAATTATCATGAATATCATGTGTTAGGAAAAGAAATAGGAAGCATCTTACCGCGATATTTTTCACCAACCCTCGTACATTCAGCAGTATAAAAGAGGTAGACCTGGAGGGAAAGGGACATTTCCTTCTCTTGATGCTTCTTATATATTTGTATGATATACAAACTTCTGAAAATGTGTGCGCTAGATAGAGCTTATATCTGAGTACCGCGTGACAGCCGTAAGGTATGTTTTATTTATTTAAAATTTCGAAAATATTAGTGGTACATGTATTATGAATTTAAGAATTTTTAACCGATAAATCAATTTAATTTATACGCGTTGAAGAAAAACATCTTACGCTTTCATTTCAAATATAGTCTACAAGTTTGAAACTTTAAACAGATCTTATGAATGCATAAAGTACGTTTTAAGTTTAGATATAATTGAATTCTTTTTTTACATTCAATTTATTCATTCAAAAAAGCAGATTTTATCTTTTAAGGAGATCTTTCTTTTTTTCTTTTTTTTTGTTTAATATTGTTTACTGATTTATCCGTGAAAATTATATTTGATAATTTTTTACTGTGAAAATTATCAAAATATAATTTCACACTGACTACTTTTTAAAGATTTACCCAATGTGGTACCTTACTTTTATTTTCGCTTACAAATCCGACAAAACCAAGTCTGTTATTTTCATATTTACAAAAATGTCTGAACAAATTAAACCGATATCAGGGGGTCGAACGTATAGCGGTGCGATACTCATTTAAGCGAGGGGAAATCATGTGATACGGAGTATTGGCGGATTTATTCGTGTAAACACACGTCAGAGTGAGTGTATTTTATTAATTATTTCATAAATCTTCGATTACAATTGCATATTTTGTATTGAAGTTGTGAATAGAGGACCGATATACATTTCATCAAAATTACAGAGGCTTAAATTCATACTTAAAAAACGTTATTGAAGGTAAACTGACGGCAACTGATTATGTGTCGGTGAATAAAATCGCTTAAAGCAAGTTTATATTTAATTTAAAATAGTTAATTTCTTTTTCTTCTTTATTCTGTAAGGGTAGTCATAATTCATTTGCATAGCAAGTACCTTTGTGCTCCCATATACATAGAAGCTTAGTGGTCAAAATATTTAAGTGTACGCTGGGTTTTGGTGCGATAAAATAACTGTACAGTGTTAAAGGTTCGATATTTGTTCTTTTTCACATGTGTTGTACATGTTTTCCTATGATTACAATAAGAGATCTACCATATATGTGTCCCTTTCCGGATTTCTGAAAAAAAAAACGTTTTGATATCTTCTTCTTTCCTGAAGGATTTACTTCAAATTAAAGTTTCGTATCACTATCTACATAAGTGTTACTATTTGAACTAAATTTTATTAGTTAGATTTCAACGTGTGATAATTAGGAGTTGGAAAAAGTAACCTGTTCTCTTAAATCTTAGATAACTATATTTCTTATCATATTTCTATTTTAAACAACGTTCATAGTTACTTATCTTCATCCCAAAATTGTGTCGCCATTTTCAACAATAAGAGTCTTGTTTTTGTACAGTATCTTGTTTGTGATTAATTACTCATTTTTGATCAAAGAATTTGTGTTAAGTTCTTTTTTTGTCGTCTAATTGATTACTGAAGAATCTATGCAATTTAATATTGAAATTTATTTGCCACTTTCGTTCAGCTATGATATGTTTGTCATTTGATTTTGCTCTTGATATTGATTAGGCAATACTGTATTCCTAGAAATTATTTCGAGCTTATTTAATTAGCGCTTTTCGTGCTGAATATATTTCCGCGAATGTTGGTATCCGCGAAAAAGTTGCATGTAACAAATTCGCGAAAATTTGTAGCTTATAATTTTTACAGCGCACATCATTCACATAAAAGGCAACATGCAAGTTCAAAATGTTATTCAACTCCAACTTGCCACTAAGGCAAGAAAATACAGCAGTTCACACACATTTAGAAAGACATAAGCTTGCGTAAGAGATCAACAGAAGCATGTTAAAGGACTCTTTAGGAACCTTAACAGTAGTAAAACAGTATATGCTATCATTCCTTATATCATGTTGTACATTTCATTATGCAACTTTTATATGTTAATATATACATTGTTTAGGTTTTTTTATTTAAAAAGTAGGAAAGGTAGAAATACTGATAACAAAAACAACAACAGTAGGAGTATGGCAAAGAAGTAGGAAATTAGGCAAAAGTATGACTTATTTCAAGCCTGTATACTAAAACTGCTACAATGGCTTTCATCTTTGACCTAAAATGACATTTAATAAAAAAGGAGTGATCATATAAGCTATTGTCAATGTTTTTTTTTAATTTTCTAAAAAAATAATATATAAATAAAACAAAAAACACTGTCCATGAGTTAACTTATTTAATTATTTGCCAACCGGTTTCTCTTATGATCATCAGGGCAAATATATATATATATATATATATATATATATATATATATATATATATATATATATATATATATATATATATATATATATATATATATATATATATATATATATATATATATATATATATATATATATATATATATATATATATATATATATATATACAATATCTAATCCATAGAGGAAATCAAACTAGTATATTTTAATAAATTTTTTAGTCACATTGCAAGAAAATCCAAAAAAAAAAACACATCAACACAATTTATTACATGTACTACTCAATGTATTGAATGAACATTAGAACGGATGGGAGGCGTTTTTTTTCGACCAGTGCATGTAATTAATAGTAGATCCACTTCTCATATGTTGCTGTTTTAATTAAAGTTATTCTTTCTTTGACAACATAAATATATAATTAATAATAGAAAAACATATTATTAAATGATAAAACCTTTACTGAATAAATGGAATAAACAAAACGAGTATTATCGTTACTATTGGTTATTTGATAAAATTCAAAGTTTCTGTGCAATAACTTATCTAATTTTAATATTTAACCTTTGCGTGATGAAAATATTAAAATTAACTACAGTCGACATTGTATTAAGAGACCAGTCAAGGGACTGACAAAAAGTGGTCTCTTAATAAAGCGGTCTCTCAATAGAATTCTGGAAAATTCGATACTTTTTTATTTTACAAGTCATAGATATGATAACATCTTTTTTATAAAAACAAAAACTATACAATATTATATATGTATTACATCTTCATAATTACATTTATGCCTTTCTTTTAAAAAAGTCATCAATATGTGTTTGTTTTTTAGTAGAAATTTGTGTACAAATGTGATCTACGCTCATAATACTATCAACAGGTCATTTTGACCTTGAAACAGAGCATGTTGTCATATATTGTTAATATGTTCATACACATCTCCTGCTGAACATACTTTCAAATCATCAGCAAGAGCTCCAGATAATTTTTCATGGAATGACTTTTAAACTTCTTGCTTTTCAGCAATTAGTTTTTCAAAAAATTTAGGTTTTAGAGATCTTAGATTATTTTGTCGAAGGGTCATATTTAATTGGGTATTACATGTATTTTATAAAGCATCAGATCGATGAGCACCTACACCATCAGCAAGCTCGGTTCTTTAATGTTTAGTCCACTACGTTTCATGATTTTATTTCGACTCTACAAACGATGACATTTGCTATTTACTCAGACTCAATTCCATTCACGATTTCCTCATTCAATTTATCCGGTATTATTAGTTGTCTGTCATTTTTCGCTCGTTCCGACGTCATTTTCGATTTGATTTTCTGGAAGGGAAGTCACTTGAGCACATGACAAAACTTTGGAAAACTGTGCCATTGCGGTGTTGTGATACGTTATTGCTCTGACAAAATATGTCACAATAAATATTAAGATCGTAAAACTGTTTTTGAAACGATTGCAATTGTTATTCAATTCGTTTTTAAACGGCAATTAATTGTGACGGTCTAATTGACGGCCGTTTAATAGATACTTTAAGACCAATGACCATGAAAAATATTTGTTTGTTTGCTTGTAAACATCAAACCTACTCGCTAATTACACAGGTGAGAATGCCCGTAGGGACGATTGTTTGTCACGGCCGTTTAATAGATACTTTAACACTGAATTTTGTACATTTGGGCCGACTCTTAGTGGCCGCTGGCCGTGATATAAAATCGTCGTTTAATGGAATTAACTTATATAGTAAAACTCATCGGGAGGGATTTTATGCGGCCACTTAATAAAAAAGTCGCTAAATAAAGGTGGACGCAAGTACGATGCCGACTGTATATCATAGTAGATCTATTATACATTAATTGAAACTACTTTTTAATTTACACTGTGATTTACACAAATGATTAACATACAAACACAAAGCTTAATATTTCATCAATATTGAATAAGAATGTACTGTAATGAGGAACTCCCCGTCACCACAGAAAAACACACCAAAATTTGTGCATACAGTTGGTTTCTCGGGCCAAATATTAGTTGTATAGTAAGAAAGCTGGAAATATTATATATATTTTCGGATAGATATGGAAAACTACTCTTTTATATTGTTTTGTTATCAAAAATAAATAATGTTAGGACTTAAACTAACTGAATATCTAGTTTTAAAAGTACTGATACATGATTTGTTTGCATGTGTATATCAGGTCGACGGTTGAATTTGCAGCAACAAATACCTCAATAACTTCCTAAATACTATAAAATTAAGTATTTTGTTTTGACGATCACGCACAATTATTAGTTCTGATCAGCATGCACAATGCTATTCTTCAAGAAATTACAGTATACAACAAATATATGGAAACAAACATGCGCATACCCTCTTTTGTTTTCGTCTTCGTCGGCCATTAGTCAGTATCGCATGGCTTCACCTCGCTTGAAAGAGTATCGCACCGCTATACGTTCGACCCCATTGGACTTATTGTTAAAGTTGATAAGACTGCTACAATGGTTTTCAATACTGGCAACAGGAATGATACGATAATGTTGAGTTCTTAATATAATTATGAAAAACTTAAGGTTCTACAAACATTTAGTTATCTAGGTTTCGGCTTTCGGCTGAAGGTTCCATACATGGAACAGATTGATTAACAAGTTGTTGTTTTTTTGTTGTTGTTTTTTGTTAGTTTGTTTGTTGTTTTTTTTTTTTTTGTTTTTTTTGTTGTTTTTTTTCCCAAAAAAACAGGGGTCTAATGTCCTGTTTGCCTTTTCCCCTCATTTTTAACATGAAGACTGAGTACTCGAGTAAA